AGGAGAAGAGATCAACACCCACACTCTTACACCCTCATTAATAAATGAAATAGAACAACTCAAACGTCAAGTGCTGGACAAATTTATTGAACACAATATTTCCTTTCAACGAATCACTTGACCATATTAAACAAAGTTTCAAAGGCGATTCGAAATATATCGGTTATGAGGGTGTAGGTGTATCTCCTTGCGAAGAACGTCCACTCTCACATTCACAGCTATACCTCCATCTACACCCGACTCCCCACCCACACCCTTTTCTTATTAAGCATAAACGTTGAAAGTTATAGAAGACAAAAAATTAATGATCATAATTTCAGTTCAGTTTTCTTTCAATCAGTTTAATGTTAATGATGGAACTGTGCAGCCACTATCTTGTAACTGTTTTACCGACGTTTCAATAATTCAAAGATCAAGTGTTTCAGGTTTATCAGATGCAAGATGTATTTCACGTGCTTTTAGGAAATATTCCAACGCTAATTCATTTTTCATCATTATCTTATAGAGAGAACCTAAACTACTATATGTCAATGCAAGATAATGATTATTACCAGATAGTGATTTGCGGCGTATCTGTAATACTTCTTGCATGGATTTCTCTCCTTGTTCGAATTGTTTCAATGATACATAAGAGTGACCCAAGATGAAGAGTGTGCGAGCAATATCTGGATGATTTTCTGGTGATTGTCTCTTTTGAATAGATAATACCTTTTGATAATTTAAAATAGCTAAATCATTACGTTTATTTTGAATATTTACCATAGCTTTGATCATTTGAATATCAGAACTTTCATCTTCGTTTAGTAAAGTGTCATTTAGTAGTTTATTTAATTCATCAAGCTCATTGGAATTTTCAATAGCTGTGTGTTCGGCTTTTATAATTTCATATGATTTGTTGATACATTGCATTTGAAATTCTTCATTCTTTGTTCGACCATATACTTTACTGAGACCAGCATAACCTTGGATAGTATCGATTGTACTAGTAGGCATTTTTAAATATTCATTAAAATATTTTTCGCTTGTATCATAGTCACCAACACGATACATTAATTCAGCTGAATTATAATAAGTCGGATTTTCACCAACTAATTCGCATTTTTCATGTTCAAATATCTGTTGATATTCTCTATCATCTTCGCTGCATATTTCTAATGGCAAAACCCAATTATTGTCTTGAGTATTAAATTTAGGGCTAACAATTCTAAAAACAGTACCTAACATGAATAGAATTTCTTTTTCATCTGGAAATAATGTGTAATGACTGATATTAGCACAAGTTTTTAAATTTTTTCATTCTTCGATCAGTTTTTATTTCAAACAGCAGAAAAATAAAATCAGCTTCCAAACTACCATCATTTCCTGCAAAAAATCTTGCGACAGTACGGTTTTCTGTTGTTGAAATAATGAATATACAGATAGAAATGATTCAATCGAATTTTTTATTCGTTCAAACTCTTTTTTGGAAATTAATTGACCATGAAAAGCCATTGCAATAGGTTCGTCAGTGGTATTCGCCTTCTGAGAAATACTTTCCTGATTTAACTGTTTGCAGAGATCGGAAACAAACCAACGAAGTCCAATTAATAACTCTACTTTTTTCATTCGTAATGATTCATTCAATTGTCGATAGAGACACATACTTTCGTATACCATCGAATTGCACCATCAGGCAAATATTCTTTTTCGAGTTCCTCTATTTTCGATATTTCTGCTGGGTTTGTTTGATAAGTATTTTTAAAATACTCTATTAATTGTGTTTTTCTTTCTTCTCGATTAAATGTCATTCTTAAGAGTATTCCAATAAACAATTGAAACCATAGAAAATTTCCATTTTCACTGCGAAGATCCGATATAGATGATTGTTCACGACGATTAAAGATTGTAAGAATTGACGTAGATATCACAACATCAGCAGTAGCATTAGATTGATCTTTTATGGAAAATTGGTTCAGTTCATTGTAAACATTAAAAAATATTCGGTTATTTTGTCAAAAATATCTTTGTTTGAATGTATTTGAATCTCGTTGTACTTCATTGAATACTTCTTTGGCTGTATGGAAAATACCTTTTACCTAAAAATAAAGAGATTCTCAATTCTGCACTTTAAATAAACAGAGTATTATATGAGATTACGACTGTTACGATAGCACTAAATCAAGGAAATGCTAATACAATATTTCTGGGTGAAATTCTTCCATAATTTTGAGTCTTTTCTCGATAGAACCAAGATAATGATAGAATTAACGTCTCAGAATTGAATTTCGGCATGATAGTTTTCTTCTTGTTATTGCTAATAATTCATGACCAAATTTCAGGCTTTAATGAGGAGAAACTATTATGATCAAAAATTACCTTTCGAAATACAGTGGAACTAATGATCGATTCCTTTGAAAACGTCTTTTATGGCGAAGAATCAAGAGAATTCTTTTTGGAAGGAAGCTATTGCCTCTCCTAATAAAATTATCAAAATTTATTCAGTAATATTTCTCTTCTCTATCAGTATTGATCCCTTGAAGCTCCTTGCTGTGCTGATAGTTGGAGAATAGTTAGGAAAAAAAGTATGTCTTCTCTTACTCATAACTTTGATTCATCACTTTCACTAGAGAAATGATCGAACTGTTATTCATATAGAAAATTCTTTGTATTAGATGACTATCGCATAAAAGCATTTCATTAACTTTTCTCCAGAAAATAGATTCAAGACTTTTTATTATGAAATTTTTCATTACTCTTCTTAGAATGACTTTCTACCAGAGGTCCAACCAGGCCACTAGGCCTGCCTGCCTGCCTGGGCCTGCCTGCCTGTCACAGGCACAGGCCACGTTTTTTAGGCCTGGCCTATGACAGGCAGGCCAGGCAGGCCGCTTAAAACACCAGGCCGCCTGGCCTGTCTATATTCTTTATAAATATAGCTTTTTTTCAATATACATTTTTTTAAACAAATTGAGG